TCTGAGACGATTGTCTCAGAATACAGAAATTTTTTTGTACTACTGTACAAACAAAAAAAACTTGTTCGTAATAAAAAGTTCGTACTACGAAGAAGGGTGTGAATTCACCCTTGTTCGTAGTACGAATATTGTTTGTACTGCGAGGGTTAAAAAAATGGATTTATGGGGAAAAAAACATTCATTCTGCGGAACGTTTGTTTTGTGAGGTGTTTGTTCTGTGAGGTACCACTGTATATATATATATATATATATATATGATGTTTGATGTACAGCTGTCAAATACTGATTGAGGGTATTATTTGAGAGACAGGTCCATTTCCGGGTTTCCATTACATGAAAAATGAGCTTGTTTACATAATTTATAGTCCAGTCAGGGGGCTTTACAAGAGAGAAAAAAAAACCACAATGATTAATTTTAGAAGCTCAAAGGTACTTCTTTCATATTTCATTTGAAAATATCTATCAAGGCAGAATGAATTTGGATTTTTAAACTTATTGTGACATCTAGAAAAAAATAGAGCTGTTTCTCAGGATTTTGTTTGCATTTGAGTTAGTTTTACTGTATATATATATATATATATAAATTCATCATGAAGGGATTCTCAATAATGTCTTATTGCAAAAGCTTAATTTTTTTATTTTCAAGAAAGAAGGGTATATCAAGCAGCAGCAAAAAGTAAATTGTAAATAATTTAAATTATAAAAAGCATATCCATTTCACATTCATCCTGGCTTTTATGTCTTGGGTATGTGATTCTCAATGAGAAGTCTTCTATAATTCATTGATGTCTTTGGAAAAATGCCTGGATTATTTCAATTGTTGTAAAATGATTTTACTCTTATATATACTGCCCCAGGGTAAGAATAAGAGAATGATAAAACGGAGTTTTTATTGGTTTTCATTGTGTAAGTCACTGAAAAGGTGGATTTTATCATGGGATTGAGAGACAAATGGAGTTTTAGGGTGATTTTACCCTGAGGTAAAGCAATGCTTCTCAAGCTGTTAACTTCTGGTGGAGTTCCATTTTATTCCAGACATCAAATGTACAGTATACTAGTATACTGCTGTACATTGGATGTCTGGAATAACTCCACCAAAAGTTAACAGCTTAATTGAGAAACACTCTGCTTTGAAAAGTTAACAGCTTTGGAAAAAATGTTGGCGGAGCTTCATTTTATTCCAGACATACATGCATCAAAGTGTACATGGAATATGTCTGGAATGAAATGAAACTCCACTATAAATGTTTCCAATCACAAAACAAACTGAGTCACATGACATCAGACACCCAACTCGTGGCTGGCTAATGGAATCGAGAAAAACTGAAATGTGTCGAAACCGAGTGAAGATTTCCACTTTTTATGTTGCTCAAAACTTGATTTCTTTCCTTATGCCTCGTCCTTTCGTAGACGCACAATAAGCAGGGGGGAGGGAAAGAAACACCAAGAGAATGTGTTTTTCTCTTGAGCAAAACGCGGGGGAATGAAGAAAAAGAATAAGAAAACCGAGTGGATTTCGACGTGAACGCTTGATTTCTTCATTTGAGTTGCACCATGACACAGGAGGGGTGGAGGGGAGAAACAAGTAGTGTAACAGCACAGGGGCTTTACATTTTGCTTCACTGCCTTCCTTCTCCCAGCAGTAACGATGTTTTTCGCTTTTTTCCTTGACTGTGGTTTGTATACTCATTACTTGAAGAAAAGAAATGGTCACCATGCACAGAGAGAGAGAGAAAAGAAAACATTTTGTCATTATTCCAGTTTGATGGAGTTCCAAGAAAATGTCAATTTTCCTCGCTTGCTGCATGTGAAAATGAAAAATTCTGCATATATACCCACCCAAGCCTACAAATAAATTGACAAATGCGTCCCTTTTCGATACAGAGTTGACAAATGATGCATGAAAAATACTTTCATTTGATGGTAGTTTTCCTGGGCATGGGTATATGTCCTGATTTGAATACCGCACTATTCTTAAAGAGAGGATCTCTAATTCAATCATGTTGTATAGTTCTGATGATGGCATGAGGCTTTTACAGCAAACACTCTTCAGTTCCAATCATGCTCATATAAGCAATGAATTATATTGAGGTGGGTTTTATATGTTATTCTTTTATTCACAAAGTGTTCATGCATTTTTGGGGGCCTATATCAACCTTTATAACGTTTCCAAAGATCTGAAGGATCTGATCTCGAGGATGTATAGAACAAGGATCCGTGCATAATTCGACTGCAAAGCCCGAAAACGATGATGACAGACGATGTAATAATAAGCTTCAGCAACGTGCCAACACTTGCACTGCTGGAGGGATATGACGCGGCGAGAAGCATATCTAGTACAGTGAAACCCTGATAAGACGCCACCATTTGTCCAGAGCAATTTTAGTGGTTTAAAGGCCCGAGTGGGGAGCTATTCGCTGTGACCCCACAGTAGGTGCAATGCAGGGTCACAATGGACCCAGAATATATGGGATATTCTGGGGTTACAAGTGTGCACTCCTGTGGAGGAAATTTTGCTACCATTTCAGGGTTACACTTGGTGCACAAATGTGAAATAACAGGAGCATCACACAAATGCACCAACTGTAACCCTGGTGTAACTTATTTGTTTACAAATGTGACCCTGAGTTATCCTGGTGTAAACACACAATTGGTGCACATTGGGGATATGCATGTGCAACAGAAGAACTTTGGTACACTTCAGTTGCACAGCAGGGTCACTGTGTAGAATTACGAACAAATCCCCAGTGTGCACCAAACCAATTTCCCCACTCAGGGGGGTTGGCAGTTTATTGAATATTCAATTTTAAATTAATTTATTTAAAATACTTGATTTTCCTCCAAAAGTTGTGGAGATACAGGTTTTCCAGAAACTTCAGTAATTTTCCCAAGAGTATTGCTTTGATCAATGGATTACTCTTTCAGAAAATTGATTTTTCTGCATCAATTCATTCAAATTTCAAGATTAGGTCAATATATATTGCTCACATTTTTCAACACAATGATCATCATTATTTTTTTTATTCTTACAAACATAAGATCCTTGACAGAAATATAATTCTAACCCAATGTTGGCATTGTAACCAAGGAACAACTAATAGCAGGAAACAGCACTTTTGTTGCATCACTAATGCTGGCGGTTGGCGTCTTATCGAGGTTTTCTGTAGAATTTAGCATGGGGGAGATTTGTTTCCTTCAAAATGTTGGCAGTTGTCAAGGGTGGCGCTTTGGGGGGCGTCTTAACGGAGTTTGACATTACTTCATTTTGGAACGGTCGGTTTTGCTTTTTCGCAGTACAGTAAAATTACTGCAATTGGTTTTTTCGTACATTGACAAACGTACCCGCAAATTGGTGCGTATTCTTCAACTTACAGTCGTGCTTGACAAACGAGATGAACCACGATTCATTAAACTGCATGTTCTATTTTTGGTGACATAATTAAAAGTAAATGTACCAATGTGTTCATAATTCTCCGAAATATTCCCAATTTTTCGAGGAAAGCTATTAAATTGAGCGTTTTGATGCCATAAAATTCCGCGTTTTGAAGAAGTGGGTTTCCTTGTGTTTCAGCGTGAACGTGGCGTCGTTGACTCAGTCTGAAATCCGTGACATAATTCTTGGAATGGAGATCAGCGCTCCTTCGCAGCAGAGACAACAGATTGCGGAAATTGAGAAGCAGACGAAGGAGCAGAGCCAGCTGACAGCCACGACGACGCGTACCGTCAACAAGCACGGCGACGAAATCATCACTACCACCTTGTCGAATTACGAAACCCAAGCTTTCAGGTGTGTCCGTGCTGGTCTCAGTATATTGCCGTGATTTCACGAAATTTAATCCGCGTGTCTAATTGTCTTCTCCCTCAGTTCGAAGACAGAGTGGCGTGTGAGAGCCATTTCTGCGACCAATCTTCATCTCCGCACGAACCACATCTACGTCGCCTCGGATGACATCAAAGAAGCTGGATACACTTACATTTTACCAAAGAACGTGTTGAAGAAGTTCATTGTGATTTCCGATTTGCGTGCGCAGGTGAGTGTTCGACAACCTGTTATCGTCTGACTGGATATGCCGCAAAAATTATTTTACATTTCGGAAGAAGGGGTGGCCCACGTAATGGGGAAACTGACTGATTTTCCTTATTTAGAATTTGCTCTTCATCTGAGGCGTGAACTCGATTTTCAAGTATGGGCTGCATTAAAGTTTTTCCAGTCAAGAGTGTCATGGAAATGATGGAATGGCATTTTTGTTGGAATATTCAAATACAGTACAGTGAGACCTCAAGATGTGGACATAATTGGTGCATCAAGAGTGTCCATAACTTGAGTCTCATTTTCCCTTAGACTTACATTATATAATTTTTAAATGGTGTTTTATGGACAATACTCACCATAATTCCATGAAAAACAAAATGTCTGTGAATTGAAACTGATTCAATCCATATATTTCAACTCTATATGGACATTTTGGGAATTGAATACTGATACCTCTGTACAGTACATAGACATGCTTGCATTCTTGGTAAAAATAACATTCAAGTGAAAAAGGGAGAAGGAAGTCCCTCTATGCTAGAGGTCATTTTTTTTAATTAGCTGAATGGATGGTAAATTGGTGAGAGAAATACCAAAGAACTTTTTTTTACGTCAATTTTAGGGTTGGAAATATCTGTTTCTTGTACTTTGCCCTGAAATGTATTTCCAATTTTATCACAAAATGTCCCTATGTTGAGTCAGTGTCCTCATGTTGGGCCTTTTCTATTACTTTGTTATGGGAAAGTAAGTGTCCCTATGTCAAATTGTCCGCAGGTTGAGGTGTCTGCATGTGGGGGTCTCACTGTATCTGTTTTTGATACAGTATGGGTGAAGGCTTGTGATAGGAAGAGGGCAACTTCAAAATTTGATTTGCTCATGTGCAGCAATTAATTTTACAAAAATGCCGGTGCTGCGTTGTTAAGTACGTAGTTCAGTAAGAAACAATGGTGGTGCCAATTTTTTTTATTATGATTTTGATTGAAGTCCGGTATTTTGCGCAGATCTCTGGGTACATTTACGGCTCGAGCCCCGCGGACAATCCTCAAGTGAAGGAGATCCGCTGCGTAGTGATGCCGCCGCAGTGGGGCACTCATCAGAGCGTGAACTTGCCCCACACTCTGCCGAACCACGAGTACCTCAAGGACTTGGAGCCCCTGGGCTGGATGCACACGCAGCCGAATGAGCTGCCGCAATTGTCGCCGCACGACATCACGACTCACGCGCGGATCATGTCGGATAATCCAGCCTGGGACGGCGAGAAGACCATCGTCATCACTTGCAGCTTCAC